ACACACACACACACACACACACCTCTTACCGAGGCAATCCAATCTTCCAATCTGTTTTCATACTTAAAGCAACACACCTACCTCCCCTCTCTCTCTCTCTCTCTAGTCCATTTTCATCACTCAGTTATACAGCCCTGTATGTTTACCTGCATAATCAAATTGCCGGGCACGATATAATGAAGAGAGAAAGCTATGCATCATTCATGGAGTCATCTCTTTCATTCGTCCTCCTCTCATATACCATCATCCTCAGCTTCCTTTTCGCCCTGACCGGCTCACTACTTTCTCCCTCACTGTTCAATTCAAACCTCGCCTCGACAGAAACAACCCCATCTGGGCTTCACGCCCGCCCACACATCATGCCGGTGCTGTAATGTCACCCCGGGTTAGCACAGGAGCCCTGGCCTTTTCCAAACAGCTTCCTCTCGTCTGGTGAGCGTCGGGCTGGGTTCACACTTCAAATACCCGCTGTGCCTGGAGGAGGCGAGGAGCTCTTTCTTCACACGAACTCAAAGCCCCATTCGAGATCAAACAATTCAATTACTAAAACGGGGAGAGGAGGCAGCCCCGAGGATGTCAATACCTGTGTATGAAGTTTCTCAGGCAGGATAAGTCAGTCAATTTGTGTATGTGTTAGTCAGTTCAGGTGGTTGTGACAGACTCCGAGGGTTTAGAGTGGAGCTGTGGTTTTGTTTCAGTGATGTTACACCACAACAGCTCTCACACAAGCTGGGGAGAGGATGATTGTAGATGGGAGCAGAGGCTAGAGTTGTGTTTCCCATCAGGCTGAGCAGAGAAATGACAGTACAGAGGTTAGAGTAGAAACTCTGAGGCACAGAAAAGGATACACCGACAGCTCGAGAGCTTCCAGATATGCTAACTCAGCACTAGCAGTCCACGAACTGCTCTGTGGAGGCTGCTCAGTGTATTTTAAGATGTGTGAAAAATGCTGTTTGCGTTCGGCTCACTGGTCTAATCTGAGGATAAGTGCAGAATTTTGAAGGACATGGAGGATGGATTTAATCTTTTGAGATTAACGTGATGTGTAAACACAATATTTTCTGTCTTAGTTTTCCTACAAATGGATGATAGTATATTCAAGACTTTCTCAATTCAGAAATTTGTTGAAGGCCATCATGGAGCAAAGTCTGTGGTTTGAATCTTCAGACAGCAGAGTAATGATAAAACAAATACACCAGAAAAATAAGTTTTAAGGGACAAATGTTCTGTTCGATCATTAAGTACAGAAAATAGCTGAACTGTTCTAAACTGGGCTCAGCAGCTGAACGGGTCCTCTGCTCTCTGTGTCTCCCTCCTTCTCGCACAGCTCTCTGAATAATACAAAAGCTTTTAAAACTGGGTTGAGGAACCTTTTTCTATCAAGGCCCATTTAAATTCTTTTTTACAACATCCTTCGAGGGCCATGCTAAATTACTGAACACATATCACACTAACCGTTCTAATGCGATGACCCAAAATGCTTTTCTTTTGGTGAGGCATCTGATGTCAGATGGCAGTGATGATGATTGACCGCTGCTTGCTGTCATTCTGAAACATTAGCCTTTGAGTTGTTTTTTGCGTTTACTTATTATTTCAATGAATTGCTAATTGGTGAGAAAAATAATACAAAACAATACAAAAACTGAAAATGAGCATAGACAGCGATGAGCAATGGAAAAGTGCAAGTTGTGACAAGTAACTGGAGTTTAGTTTAGTTTTTTACTCTGGAAGACAGAATTAGATTTTACCTTAAGTCACTGGTTGATCCTCTATGTCCATTTTGGTACTATGTGAAATTTTCTGACGTGAACAAACAACTGCACACACCTGTATGCACACTTACAACACGCATGCACACACAGGGGAATCCCAGTATACTGTATAATTGCTCTTCGATTCAGCTTCAGTCTTTGTGTTTGCCATAAGGGAATTAAGAATATTGTATTTAGCTGTAAATTCCATTGTGTATATGTTCCTCTTACATCTTTTCAGGTTGATACAGACTTGTTTTTTTTGCTTCACTGCCCAATTTGTCCAAGCTACGTCCTCTATTTTTATCTTGTGTGTGCGATAAATTAAGAAAATCAAGTTGTAACAGG